CAGGGATAGGCTGCATCTTTCTGCAGTTCTCCCCTTCCATTCTATTCCTAATTCATTCACTATATAGCCTCTTCCTAGATCCCAACCTCAGAGAGCAGCGCTACTTACCCTCTGCTCCGAGGGTCAAGTCATCTTCAAAGCTGGTTCCATGGCTAGAGTACCCTGTCAAATAATAAAGCAAAGGTCACAGAAAATCAGGCTTGGACACACACATACACACACACACAAACACACACACCTCTGTATATTTGAACATCTACAACCACATAGTCACATCAGATGTCCACACGTTTGCAAAACTACCCCAAGCATTACAGATACTACTTCAGAAGTCACATTTGTATTTTGATTCAGAAAGAATCACATAAACACTCGTCTATAATTAACCTGTCCTCTATATTACATAGTCATGCACACAATCCTCTGCCACATAGTAAGCACATGGGGGTGTGCACTCACACACATAAACAAATATTTTATAAAGCTCTTATCTCATAGCAGTGATTGTTAGCTAAGCAACCACTAATGGAAAATAACCTTTGAATACTGGTGAGCCTGTGGCCTCTGAGCCAATGTTTGCTCTGCCTTCTGGACCTTCCGGACTGCTGTGTAATCACTAATAGGCATTTTTCAAACCGTTACAAGATAGTCAGCATTCTTATGCATGCATGTGTGTGCCTATACATATATACTCTCTCACACACACAGCCATCGCTTGCGCGCTCTCTCTCTCTCTCTCTCTCTCTCTCGCACACACACACACACACACACACACACACACACACACACACACACACAGCCATATCACTATCACACACACACACACACACACACACAGAGCCATATCTCTATTCAGGTAGAGAAGAACAGTAGAAGAAAGAACATAGTCTATACTCACCATTATAGATCGACTGTCCTGCTTCCTCAAAAAACCCTTCTTCAGAGTATCTAAAAACCAAAAATAATCTTACAGGTTAAAATCACTATATTTTCCAAGGGGCTATTCCTCAAATATGTCCCACAAGTTCATATAATTTTTCAATGAAAGTCAGTAGTACTTAAACAATTTTTATGCTGAAGAAAACTAATACAGAGTGGTTATTTGACTAACAAATTCATGGTGGTAGTCAGGGGGATTTGGGACTGGAGTGCGCTATATTTCAAATTGTGCTGCCATCGCACTGACCACATTGTCTAAAGTCAGCTTAGCAATAATTCTCCAGGAAAATTCCTAGATAAAATAGGAAAGAAAGAATACAGAAGTAAAACTGGAGAGATGCATTTATAGAAGCAGGAGTTTGGGTGTATGATTTCTACATCACAAAAAAAAGATAAAAAAAGATATCAAGATAAAAAAAAAAACACTTTTAGGAGGTCCTCTTATCTATCACACACCCTTCCTTCTCTCTGAGCCATGTTCTTGCTGAATATCATGTCTTTCAGGAAGCAACAGACACGGCATCTTGGTTAGAGATTATATTTTTACATTTTGAGATATGGGCTTATCAGGTATTTACCATCTCCACAAGAAGAACAGACAGAAATCAGAACAAATGGTAGTTAGAAACAACTCAGTTTTACAAACAAGTAGAAATTCTCTGTCAAAACAGGTGAATGAATTAGTCTGTGAAAAAGCTTTGAACTGGGCCCAGAGCACCTGGATTTCAGTCCTGGCTCCTTGCTGCTGCTATGCTCTCAAATATTACATAAGGGGATTTAGATGCCTGGATATTATTGTTATCTAAGTCCACTTCAAGCACTGATGTGTTTTGAGTTTCACGGAGTTTGGTTTCCTGATAGTTTTGAAATGGAGTTGCACATGAGTTTTGAATGTAATCTCAAATGGAACCTGGAATAGAGATTTGTTAAGGTGAGTTATCACACTATAATCAACCATTATCATCCTTTAATTTTTCTGATTTTGCCATATAATTAAAAATATTACATACTTATTAGGGAGGTTTAGAAAATGCAGAACATTGGAGATATTTTATGTACCTGATAATTCTCCTTCCAGAGACAAACGTAAGCATGCTAAATAGACTCCCTTACGGCCTTTTTGAAGTCTAAATATTGAAAATTTTTTAACACACAGAAAAGTAAAGAAAATATGACAGATATCGTAGCACCTGCCATGATATTTTCACAAAAATAATCATTTTGTCATATTTGCTTCAGATCTGTTAGTAAAAAAAAATAAAATGTTAATGATACAGCTAACATCTTATTTTATTCCTATTCCTTCCTACTTGCTTCCTTTCTAGAGGGACCCACTACACTAGAGTTGGTGTGTTTCACCTCTGGACATACTTTTCAGATAAAGAGATAAGTAGGTAAATAGGTAGGTAGGTAGGTAGGTAGGTAGGTAGGTAGATAGATAGATAGATAGATAGATAGATAGATAGATAGATAGATAAATAGATGGATAAACAGACTTATTTTGTGAAATTTTAAAGTACCATAAAGCCTCTCTTTTATAAACCTCACCATTCAGATATTACTACAGAACATGAAGCACTTGTTCATATATCATATCATTTAAATCTCACAAGAAACTTTGAAACTTTATTATTCTAGTTCACTTTATCAGTGAGGAGTCTGAGATAGAAAGAATTTCAGTTGTTTGCTTACAGTTATTTACACATACAGTTAGCAAAAAAACTAGCTTCAAATCTTGGAGTCTTTTCACTACCAGGCTACCTTTTCAACATATGTTTTGTTTCAGGGTTTATCTTTGTAAAATATAGCTGAGGAAAGGTGATTTCTGGAGTTTACAATCTTATATTTCTGTGAATTTATTCTTTTCAACCAGCATGTAATATGTTTGAAGTCAAGGGACATATTTTAAACTACTTGGCATGCCTCTAGACCATTTAGATAGTCAGTTAGCAAATGCACAGTCAATAGTTGTTGATGTGAATTGATAAGACTCAAGAGTGCTTAATGAGATAAAGACGTTGACTGACACAACTTGTTCTCCTGTACAAATCTAGTGAAGCGTTTTAAATCCTAGGGCAGTTCTCACACAACAAAACTTGCAAATGTTCCTGTTTCCACATTCCTTTACTTCCCTACATTTTGATTACCCTTAATTGACTCTGAAGTCATTAAATTGTGGAACAGATTAGGACAATAAGGATGATATGTTTTGTAAACAAAAAAAAACAACAAAAAACAAAAGAAACCCTTCCTGGCATTACCCTGGAATTATCAGTTTAAAAAAACAACCTTGGATTATTTAATGCTATTTATTTCCTACCAAATAAGCAAGGATGGGTTTATGTTATGTTAATAGATGAGTTTAGATTAAAGGCTATATAAAGCTTGAAACATTCCCGGAGGGGCAATAAGGAGCAAGCAAGAGTTGTAAATTCTAAGAATTCATTATCATACAAATGATCAGGCTTAAATAGGTTACAGAAACTTTCCTCCGTCTGAGTAGACTGAACCTAAAATGGTACAGGCTGATGGGGTGTGGGTCTCACATTTTAAAGTGTTTCTGAGGAAGGAGATACTACATTTTGTCTTGAAGTACCTGCTCCAATTCTTCGCTGTTTTGAATGACTGGGGTAAACCCTTAGCTTCTCTTCCTGTGTTCCCCAGCAGAAATAAACAACACAGTGGTGAATTACTCTGATCATAGAACAATTGGTTTCTAACTCCTCTTTTGTTACACAGCATTGGACTCCAGTCTGAAGGGAAAAGCAATGGAGTAGAGATCTTAAACTCAGCCCAGCCATTCTCCAAAGCTGTAGACTTCCATCATTCTTGGCTTTAGACCAGATCCAGACAGTATCTCCGGATCCTCATCCCAACTTAGTCTCAGCCCAGAGTTGCACTTGATTCATAGCCCACACTCACTCCTAACCCTTAGAATCCCCCCACCACGAATTTAAACCTCATTTCTAATCATTAAGCCCAATTCAAACCCATTTCCTGTTTCTGAGTTCCCACAAGTCAGTGCCTGTTAGAATGTCCAACCATCAACCATGATCAGCCCCATTGCATCTCCAGCGCTTACCCACAATCCTGCAGCCAGTCTTCTATCTTAGTGATTGGATTCCCTAGAAAAATCAGATATCAGATCACTGTGAGAACTAAAGGAAATCAGACTTCTTCCTTATAATTCACCCCATTCGTAAGTTTATCCTTTTATAAGCCACATCGTGAATCCCTTTTCGCCTCATAAAATGTTTCCTTAAGATATGAGACGGATATAGTGATATATAAACATAGTGGATTGTTCTCTCTGCCTCCCTGCCCGCTTCCTCCCAGGAATCTGGCAAATGCCAAGGATGTTGGGCCCACTGCTCTCTTTTCCCCAAGATTTAAGAAGGGGAGTGGGTCCTTCTCAAAAAGGCCCCCAAAACAAAAACAAAACAAAACAAAACAAAAAGCAAGCAAGCAAGCAAGCAACCAACCAACCAATCAAAAAAACCCAAGGCGGGGGTGGGGGGGGGAACAAGATAAAACAAGAAGCACAATCTTATATTTATATAAGATTAATTTTTTTTTTTTTTTTTTTACTTGATGGCTGTAGTCTCATTTGAACCTCAAAGAAGCTGAGAGGCATGTAGAAAAACTACTACTACTATTTTGATGAGACAAATATGTCTTGGAGAGGTGAGTGACTTGCCAAAGTTCACACAGCTTGTTAGTGACAGAGTTTCAGCTAGAGTCCTGGCATTCTAGTCGAGTGTTACCTTACACAGACAAAATAAAATGCCCCAAGCAATTCACCGAGAACTTTGGCACCTCAAGATGATGCAAATGTGCTTCTTTCTTTTTCCTGATCTCATGCCTGTCTCTTTCTCACATAATTCATATCTTGTATTACTTTACCTTCTTTCCCTTAAACTCATGTAAACCAGACAAAATGAGCTTCCTTGAGGGCCTAGCCTAAACAAGGGACCCACTGCCTACACTCTGCGGACCCATGCCTGCTACTACATTTTGCCTACCACAAGACAATGTGGAAGTCTATCTGATGTCCAACTGCCTCTTACCTTCCTGGAAAACATCATCCAGGCTGGATGGTTCAGGATCTGGGACATCCTGCAGAGCAGCTGCAGCCTCTTCTTCCAGGACCTGTGTCTGCCAGTGGCGACTCTGACGGAGCCAGGCCCGTCGCTTCTCCCAGGAAGTGGGGCTCAGCACAGAGCTCTCCATGGCCCTGGTTCAGACTTCAGGGTCTCCTGCCACAGCGAGGCTGTCCTGAGAGTTGAAACAGGACGATACTTCTTCATCTTCTGTTTGGAAACCACCACCCCTAGGTCTTCCTGCTCCCCATCTTCCCAGCTGTGCACAGGGAAGCATGACCCTTCTGTCTGTTCAGGAGGAGGGAGAGAGATGTCTAGCCCTTCCTCTATCTTCCAAAAACAAAAAAACAAACAACAACAAAAAAAGGAATGCCCTGAAAAAATCTAAATATTACGGTTAATCTTTCAAATCAGTAAGTCTGAAAACTTCAAAACATCATATTATTGATAGGACATTGAGAAAGCTCATCTGACTTAATCGCTATTTTTCATGATAGCGGAAATGCTGTATTAGAAAACATTTTTCTTTAATCTAAGAATTTTGTCTCTGAGAATATTCCATTGAAATTACAATATCTTTAAATTTGAAATTTATAATATTTACTTTATTTGATCCTTATAAAGATATATGAAAAAGTCCCAGATCTCAAAAGTTGAAGGTCCCACCACCATGATGTCATTCTAACTCAGTTATTCTGAGTTTGCTTTGCTTTGTCTTTTTGTTTTATATATTAGTGTCAACATAGGATTTCTTTCAATGGAAAAAAAAATCCCACAGTAAAAACAAGGAGACTTTGCCTTGAGCGATTATCAGCCACCACCTTCAGGGTCATCACTTTTTACACTGTCAACATGGATTTCTTCACAACTATGCATTAATGCCCTAGTTCATCAATGTGCTTATAATTCGTTTAGCACTGCCTAGTCAACAGCTCTATATTCTTCCAAAAGGTAAATTCTGATGGCACTAGCCACTTATTTAAAGAGGAATAAAAAGGAGAAGATCACTCAATTGTCCAAATAGAGCTTAAAAAGACACTAATGAACATTCATTGGTGTAGATCTGTCCTCCTGCCTCTTTCCCACCTGCCACACTCAAGACCCATGACAGTGAGTTAATGGAAGCGGGACCATTGCTTTCACTGCCTTGTCCCTCTATTCTCTGGAGGTGCCATAAACAGCTTCATAGTCATAGCTACACTTCTAACTGTTTGAGTAAGAAAAAAAAAAAAAAAAGGAAAAAATAAGAAGAATGCCAGTTTTTAGACACTTCTGTTCCTCAAACATTTAAAAACAAAATCATTAGTGAGACATTCAACAATTTTAGCACTAAAATAGCTATTTTTTGAAAAGAACAACCTGAACATAAAACACATTCCTAGGGTAATAAAATTGTTTTGCATGCCTCTGTTTGCTATAGACAAAGCATATCCAGAGAAAAACAATACATAATTATTGTTGTCTGATCTTAATTCTTTTATTTCAAGTCCAGCCTAAGACATATTTTTCTCCAAGGAGAGACAGCAGTTGGCACTATGAAACTTTTGTTAACCTTGGGCACCTGGCCCCTTGTCTACTGCCTGTACCTTTTAGGGGAAATTAAGTGATCGAACTAAGCTTCTGACATAGGGAAGCCACAAAGAGGGGTAGCAGAGATAACTTGTCTTTTGGTCAGAGCTGTTTGAGGTGATAAAAAGACGATAAAACTGCCACTAGAAAGATTTTAGAAAAACAATCTAGAAAGCTTTGATCAGAGTTTATTTACCTAGTTCTGCACTTCTAAAATATTTAATAGGTTGGCGTCAGTGAGCCCAGAGAAAAAAATGTCAAAGGCTGACTTATCTATTGTCTTTAATTCCCATAGCAAAAAGACTTTCCCTAAATCACAAGAACGCATCAGATCACAAGAAGAGCGTTTTTGGTGATTAGGGCTATTTAAAAGGAAGGCAGGAAGAAAGGAAGAAAGGGAGGAAAGGAGAAAGGAAGGGAGGGAGAAAGGAAAGAAGGGAGGGAATCTGCTACTTGTTAATGGTATATTAACAGAAAATTCAGTCCTTCTCTTTGATCTGTTTCTCAATAAGGGCACTCTAGCCTAGCACAGTGATAGGATCTCAGTAATTGAGATGGTATATGGAGGCCTTTACCTGGGTTTCAACATCCTCAGTGATATGAATCTATTCTACGTTCTTCCCACGTCTTTAAAAATACATCACACTCATATAGTTAATTTCCTCTCTGCCCCTGAAAATGTTTCTTTTCCTTAACCCTAGATTTTTCTCATGTTCTTTACTTCCTTCCCCGCTTCTGTTCCCTCAGCCTTTGGCGCATTTAACTTGCAAAGCTCAGCTGTTAACCAACTTTCTCCATGAAGTCAGGTCTGGCTTCTATAGGCTACGCTACAGTAGTCACTTTTCACTGAGTTCCTTCCCTGCTTGATTTTCTTCTTTGTTGTTCTTATCATTAACATACTTTATATTTTATTTGTTAATTTAATTTATTGTTTACTCTTCTGATTAGAAGATAAGCTCTCTGAGAACAGAGGTTTTTGTCTGGGAATCTCACTGCTGTGTCCCTAATGTCTAAAACAGAACCTAATTTGTCATAGTTTCTTAATAAATACTTATTCTCTAAATTAATGACCATTTAGTAGATGACTATTCTCCATAGGAGCCCAGTGTCTTGCAGAGTCATAGACACATGTAGGGAGATTAGCTTCAAAACTGTAACAATAAGCTTAAAATTTTGTGCTTACTAAGCATGTAAAAATGTTTTGGGCTGAGAGTTGGAGAATGAAAGTGAATTTGAGGGTTATTATACAACCGTTTCTACTTAAGAGTTCCCATAATTGCAAACAGAAGTTGTATTTTCTTAACAATTTCTATTTGCTATTCTGTTCGATGAACAAAAGTTTTACTTAGTGTAAATACCTAAAGGAAAATGCCTATGGAAACAGAATCCGCAATGCTTAAGAAAGGCTTACAAATAAATGGTTATTATAGTTATGGCAACAAGGAGGCTAGACAAGTTAAGGACTGTACTGCCTATTGAGAATGACAGCCATTTCTAAGCAATTTGGGTGAGAAAAGAATAATTTCTCCACTTGAAAAAGCAACAATGGTCTCAAGTCTGAAATAAAGGGTGCAAGATATATATCAGCTAATTTTCTCAACTGTGGCAAACTGAGTGTGGGACCAAGGAATTGAATAAATTAATTTTCCTTTATCTCTTCCATGCTTGGGTTGTAGAGACCTGTTCATGGGATGTTAAATGGGGACACTACAAGCACAGCAATATTATGAGGCATAGGAAAATAGAATTGTCTGGTTAGTGGTAACAGGAGGAAGCTGAGCAGTTGGGAGATAAGAAACTGTTTATTTTTTGTGGAAATCTGGAGGAAGTGGCAAATGACTATCACATCAGCAGGGGGAGTGTTAGAAAGAATTGAAGGTTGGGTGCACACAGCTGTCAAGATGGCACCTTTGAAGGTTTTGGGGCCCCTTGTAATAGAGACAAGGACCCGGAGCTATTTCCTCCAAACTAGTCATACAAAATCATACACCTACATGTACAGTGGAGTTTGGTGCAGTGAAAAGAGCACTGACTAGGAATCAGGAGACTTGGGCCTTCTTCTAACTTTTTTGTCCAATTGACTTCTGGCAAGTCAATTAAGTGTTCTATTTGGGCACTGGTTTTAGCCTCTAAAACATGTATTGGTGGTACTCAATGTTGTATAAGTTTCCGCCAATATCAAAGTTTATGAATTTATTCTAGTCGAGTTTGTGAAATATTTGTAGGAATAATAACCTGTAAAAAATGCATTTGTATAGTTTTCTCTGTAAGAATTAGGAAATGGTCCAGTGTCCTCTGGAGTTACTTCTCATTTAGCAAATTCTCTTTCATATTAACAGGGACTTATGGGGTTCCTAGACTTCCAACTTTTACTAACAAAGGAAAGTGGTGAGCCTGAATGAGGGAGGCTGAGAAGGAACCAAAATAAGTGTGAGTCAGTCAGACGTTGCTCCCTGAGCTCCAGCACTTCTTGAAATTTTTCTGCTTCTTTGCTTTAGCTTATGTGGCTTTACCCACCTTCCTTTCTACCCAAACAAGTTTTATCTACCTTTAGAAGGCCTACTTAAGCCACCTTCTTTCTATTACCCACCTCTAGCAACTGGCACACATGCTTACACCCTATTCAGCAAGAGATAAGTGGCTCCCTTTCTCTTCGTTATCTACCACTCCTTGTAACCTGTCCCCTAAATCCTATCTCAGGGCCTAGCACAACACTTGACAACAGAAGGGACTCTAAATGCTGTGTCTGCAGAGGAGCAAGAATTGTACTGATCCTGAAAAATAATCATTATGTAGTATATGTCATAGGACAGGTGCTCCTGACATTTCACATAGTTTCAAATCCTAATGTACATATTTTGTATACCTTGTAGTGAAGAAGAAAAAGGCTTGAGGCATAGTCATGCCAACCTTTGTTGATGTAAGGGTCATACAAGTCTGACTGAATTTATAAGCTTAAACTATCAAATTTTCCTATCTTAAAAACTGTTTCCTAGAGTTTTCTGTTCTAATTTTTCATTCCTTGATCAAAAGTTCCTTCTGGAATCTGAGTACCGTCTTTCTTGATGCTGATTTATATTATAACAATATATTTAATCTACCTTCTATAAGGATAGAAGTTTGAAGCCTGCTGATATCTTTTCTCTGACATTCCTACTAACTACTACTCCCTTCAAATAAACCCACAACAAAAACCTCCCCGCCTCCCCGCCCCCCAGTTATATTGCTACTTGTCTGAATCACTCCAGAGCCTTATTTTTCCCTTGGCCATCATTTGCAACCCTTCGTCCTTCCTTTTCCCTGCGTTTCTCTAAAGGTTCACTCCCCAAATATTTCTCCACAATCTGTCAAGTGTTCTGGAATTTGACTACAACCAAGTAGAGTACAAGAGAATTCTCTCTTCTGAGGATGTTTTAGTTAAAATCAGAAATTGCAGCAGATAGGATTAAAGTTAGACATGAGAAATCACCTCTAGTGGTTTAATACTGGGGAGTTGTTTAAGAGCTTCGAAATGAATATTTTTAAACAAAAATCATCAGCAGAAGCAGTAACTTTCATAGCAGAGAAAACCTTTATGGGTACGTTATTGTTATTACACTGAGAATATCACATACTTCCAGCCTCTGTTTTCTCAGGAATATAGTCAGAGCTTCACTATATATTAACATAAGTCAAAGCAATAGGTACACATCATAACTTATAATATATCGTAAAATGTATAGAGTATCTTATATTTAAAACCTTCCCACAAACAACTTCACTTAATCTTGACAATCACCTTTGAGCTAATTATTATCTGAAGCTCAAAGAGATATGTGACTTGTCTAAGGACATATATTTGATCTTGTAGTGCTGAGATTTAAACTCGGGTTGTTCTAGTTTGAGTTGTACAGTTTTTCCACTAATAATAGAATAAGAAAATAACCTAAGATCACCACCCAGGTGTCAGCGGTAAGTGTAACTTGGGATAAAGGAAAGGAGAAACTGTTTTAGTAAATTTTCCATTTCGCATGCTACACAAACTCTCCATTTTACAGTTTAGTATAGAAAAGGCGGCATAAACCAAAAATAATTTATACTTGGCTTTGTGACAGTCTTAGTGAAGGAAGTGTTGCTTTGTTTGGTTATTAGCATAGTTTTCCTTCTTGACTCCAACTAGAAGGTTATGAAGCAGTGTTGTCCTCTTCAGGCTTACAGAGCGGGTTAGCAGCCTGGGCCCACCTGGATTCTAGTTGAGAGGAGAAAGTCTGCCTGGAATTTCACATTACTTTTAGATTGTTGTGGCGTTCAGAGCGTTTAACATTGGTGATGGGATGACACAGACCGATTGGAGCTGACACCAGTCACAGCCCTGTGGCTATGTTATATAAGTGCATAGCTAGGGTGGCACTGAGTTTTGGGTGCTAGATCTGGGGAATCTTTTGGGACGGCTGAGCACTCAAAGGGCTTGGAGCAATGGATATTTATAGTAATTTGGTGTGGACATATTTTAATATTTTAACAACTAGTGTGGGCCTACCAATTTGTACCTGCTAAATATCAGCTCTGCTTACAGATATCTCACTATGGGAATATTTTTAAGGGGCTCAATAAGAATGGTAAACTCTTGAGAAGGAAAACTATAGAAAGAGCATGGGCCATGGAATCAGAGTAAGCCTTGTTTGGAATCACAGTTCTGTCTACTTATTGAATATGTGTCCTTGGTAAAGTTACTTATCCCCTCTAAACCTAAGATTTTCATGTGTAAAACAAATAACATACCAAACTTGTTGGGTTATTGGAGGTTAAAATAAGATAATATATATTAAGTCCTTGATGTATGAAGGAGGCGCTTAATAAATGATAGCTAATATTATTAATCTTCCCTCAGTCTAAGCCATTCACTAAAGTTGGAACATCTTCAGGAATAAGGAAAGAAGGAAGGCATGAGCAGTGGAGTATATTAGTGTGTGTAAAATCCAGATGGTGAGAGAGGAATGTTGCTGTTGAACACAGACAAAAAATAATCAATAACTGAATCCTTCATTCTTACTTAATGTCTAAAGAGATCGGATAGATCATCTAATCCTGGTCACTCATTTTGTGGTTGAGGAAACTGGAAGAGAAAGAAAAAGTTACATATATATATGTGTGTGTGTGTGTGTGTGTGTGTGTGTGTGTGTGTGTGTGTGTGTGTGTGTGTATACGCATATATATTCAATCATTATTTCCATAGAAGGAGAGAGAGAGAGAGAGAGAAAGAGAGAGAGAGAAAGGCTTATCTGAAGTCGCACAGAATATTAATGGTTATAAATGGAACTCACACTTATGAGTTCTGAGTCCCAGGTGCTTGCTTTCTGCCTCTATGTCAGACAGCCTTCTTCCTGCCACTCCTGGTTTCCAAGACCCAGACCCAGGTTACCCTTTAGCACTCTAGGCCTCCTCGCAGGGACATGGATCAGACATATTTCTCTTCTCTTTTGTCTGTGTTGTTCTTATACTCTAAGCAGTGCCTGTGAAATGGGGCTGAGTGTGAAAACAAGCGTGGGAGGAGAGAAGGAAGAAACGGAGTTTCCACGATGGGGCCCACAAGAACTTTTGCATCCTATCCGCATTCACCACCAAGATACACATCAACGCCATTGCAAAGGACTGTGGGAAATCACAGGACAGCCAACATTTCTGTTTGTAGATGGAACAAACTCCACTTTAAGCTACATTGACTGCTCCCCCCCATTCTGTATACCCCACCTGTAACATCCTCTCACATGCCTTCATAGATAGGAAATATCTAATTTTGAATCCTCTTTCATGTCACTGCAGTTTGTAAGATCGTCAGAACAAAAATCACATTTGAACATTCTGAGACTTCTATAATCTAAGGAAGCATTTCAATCTATTTCACGGACAAAAGGGGGATGTTATTTGATAAATTATACCAATAAAAATGTTGATTTATCAGTATAACTCTTTCCACCTCCATTTTTACCCCCTCTCTCCGAAAATGAGTTTAGCTGA